GGTGACGAAAAGGCGCTCAGGTAAAAGTGCGGCAGAGCAGAGAATCTTGACATTCTGTCTTCCCGGTCGAGAAAGAGGAGTACTCAACCCAACCACAACGACGAATCCTATTGGACTCCGAGGGTGAAAAGATCAGACTAGGATGTTGCACATGCAGACAGTCTGTGTCAGTTACTGCACCCTCTCCCAACTTCAGCTTATAGACCACCTCGAACTAGTGACTGGCAAAAAGCAGATAGAAAAGAGTGATAAGTCTATCCTAGGAGCACACTCCTCATTATAAATAATCTGAGGCAAGCCAAAAGCCGTGGTTCGGATGGCTGGCAACTGACGGGATAACCGGTCCTCTTCTCCGGAAGGACAGTCGGACTGTGATTACTCTTAATGTAGTACTTGTGGTACTCGCATTGTTGTTGTGTGAGATGCTCGTCAGTTGTGCGCGAGTTCATGCCGCGCCAGCAAACTGCTCCCGATCTTGTTTGTAAACTCTGTCACGAAATCAGATCACCGTGAATGAAAAACGGTTATCAAATAAAAATAGAATTACAAGTATCGGACTCACGGGCATCGGCGTACGGATTGATTGGAGTAGGTTCCGGGGGCAGCAAGGAATGGAAAGGTCGAGGAAGGCGCTGCTTCACATTCTCGTGGTAGGAATACCTGACATGGTGAGCATGAAGATAACGCGGAAAAGGGGAGAGGTCAGGCACAGAAAGTAGAAAGTATTTGTGGCGCGAAACAACAGCAGAGTGCAGTATCGGGAAAGACATTGAACTAAAGATATTTAAATCTAAAGAACCCCCCTTTCACTGCCCTTCACTACGGGCGAAGCAGTCATGAGAACAGAGACCTTAAGGGAAAATAATTTCTGTGATACGAATTCAAAAAGCCAACATAGTAAAGACGTATTTACCAGAAATGTTATAAAATAAGTTCTAGTAATATGAGAGAGGACGTGGAAAAAACGCCGCCAAAAACAAAAGACTGATTGATGCTGTGAACATTCAAATGTCCCGTGCATTGCCACTGTTGGAAGATCATTGCGCAAGACGTTTGTCCATATCAACTGTACTTGATTCGATTAGCTCCCGTTGTTGGATGAATCGGTTTCACGGATGTCAAGGATAGCGGCAGCTCATTGGCGGTGGTCGGAAGCGAGCTCCTTGCAAATGTCAACCCAGTGCTTGTTCCAGCGTCGCAAGTCGTAAAAGGTTACGAGACCCGTCCGTTCGACGTCCGAATTGACAGTGTTGAGCCACGTGTCCAGTTGACCGCCATGTCGGTATCTGCAATTTGAAATACGAGAGGGATTTGCGACCATTCTGTAGAGGTCTGTCGATGGCTTCCGCAGAACATGTCCAAGCCACTGCAATCGGCGATGCTGTATGTATGACGCTAGACTTGATAGTTGGAAACAGCTGCAAAATAATTCAACATTGGAAAGTTGATCCTTCCAGGAGACTCTTAAGACGCGTCGAAGACACCAACGGTCGAAGACTGTGCCAAGATGCGTAGTCAGGAACTTTGACTTGCATACTTTGATCTTAAGACCAACAGTTGCAGCGAAGCTAAGGATTCGGTCTAGCGTTGGCTGTAGTGACTGGAAGGTAGTACCAAGTAGGAAAATTTCATCGGCATACTCCAGGTCAGATACTCTGAATTCAGGGCTCATTTCACATCCACTATCAGGTAGAATTGGTTGATGCATCACCCAGTCGATCAAGAAGTTGAAGAAAACTGGGGAAAGAGAGCATTCTTGTCGAACTCCGGAAGTCAGTGGGAAAGAATTTGACTTTTCACCGATGGCTCTTATTCGGGTTAATTTTGTACTATAGTCGGCCTTGTTGGGAGTCCGTCGGCAAGTAAGATTTGCCATAAGGTTTCTCCGTAGGTGGAATCAAAGGCGGTCTTCAATTCAATAAAACAGGCGGTGGTAATCTGTTGATTCTGGTGTCGGTGTTCCAGTATGCGGCGCAGAAAGGA